TACCTAACACATTGTAGAAACAACCAGGTACAACGTGGGGATGTCTGAGATGGAGTGCAAAACTTTAAAAAGAGGTAAGTAACTTCATACTTCTACTGGTGAGACCTATTTTATAACAGTTCTCCTTTCTGGAAGTCTAGAAGGACTCATTCACTGGAGGAAGGAATGGAAAAAAAGAACAAGGAATTAACTTTGGCCCTGTAAATTCCTCTCTTGAAACATGATGCCTATAGTCAAACAGCTGCTGGACCACCACTTGAAGCTCAATTTCCAGTAAATTTTGTCCTCAAATATTTTAGCTTAGATGGTCAAAATACTATTGCCTGATGAGTATTATAACTTGGAAGTATTTTTAAAATTAAGTCCTGGAGAATCAGTTTCTTCCTAGTTGTGGTACATGCTCAGTTATGATTCGCATTTTGTACAAACTTGTTCTCTTATATGGTACATTTTAAAGTTACTTAGAAAAGGATTCCTAAAAATTAGATAATTTAATGTGCTTCCTGAGGGGAAAAGGGATAGCAGCTGCAAAACACCTTTTGATGAAGATGTAGAATATCTGAAATATATGGATATAGTAGATCAACAAGATGATCAGAAAATTATGCAGAAAAACATATGAATGATAAGAAAAGAGCTATCAAAAAAAATGTGAATGTCAAGTTGGAAAATGCACATTTTGCATTAAAGCCAGCAAAATTAGTGTTGAGATTCTAATTTTTCCGAAACACCATAAGATATGAACAGCAAATATGAAGTTAAACCAACGGTCCATCTAACCTACTGTTTACTTCCCACCAATGGGCATGATGAGAGGCTATATAGAAAAGAGTATAAGGGCAGAATGAACATGTACTAATCCAGACCAACGAGTGTGTCAGGAATGGGGGAAAGTCACGGGGTCGCTCATTTGGATTTCTCTCCATCATGTTGCTAAGGACATTAGTGTCCAAGCCTTCAGCTGCCCCCATCATACAGGAGGGACAGAAAACTGCAAATGCTGCTTCAGAGGGCATCCACACACCCCTCACAGGCTTCTCTCACACCCAAAGAAAGTTGATTGGGCTCCAAAAGGATTTGTACTTCTGCCACTCATTTGTTCCAATAAAAGAATATTTTACTTTTGAAAAGGAAAAGTTTTCAGTATTTCCCATTGAATCGTAGAATAGTTAGGGGTGGAAAGGACGTCAAGATCACTCAGCTCCAATTCCCTTGACATGGGCAGGGACACCTCAGAATAAACCATGTCAACCAAGGCTTTGTTCAACCTGGCCTTGTACACTGCCAGGGATGGAGCATTAAAACTTCTCTGGGCAACCCATTCCAGTGCCTCACCACCCTAACAGTAAAGAACTTCCTCCTTATATCCAATCTAAACTTCACCTGTTTAAATTTTAACCCATTACTCCTTGTCCTATTACTACAGTCCCTAATGAAGAGGCCATCCCCAGCACCCCTATAGGCCCCCTTCAGATACTGGAAGGCTGCTATGAGGTCTCCATGCAGCCTTCTCTTCTCCAGGCTGAACAGCCCCAACTTTCTCAGCCGATCTTCATATGGGAGGCGCTCCAGTCCCCTGTTCATTCTCATGGCCCTCCTCTGGACTTGTTCCAACAGTTCCATGTCCTTTTCATGTTGAGGACACCAGAACTGCACACAGTACTCTGAGTGAGGTCTCACGAGAGCAGAGTAGAGGGGAAGGATCACCTCCTTCGACCTGCTGGTCACGCTCTTTTTGATGCAGCCCACGATAACGGTTGGCTTTCTGGGCTTCAAGCACACACTGAAGCTATCTCATGTTCATTTTCTCATCAACCAGCACCCCCAAGTCCTTCTCTGCTTGGCTGCTCTGAATCTCTTCTCTGCCCAGCCTGTAGCTGTGCCTGGGATTGCTCCGACCCAGGTGTAGGACCTTGCACTTGGCATGGTTAAACTTCATGAGGTTGGCATCAGCCCACCTCACAAGCGTGTCAAGGTCCCTCTGGATGGCATTCCTTCCCTCCAGCGTATCAACCGAACCACACAGCTTGGTGTCATCGGCAAACTTGCTGAGGGCGCACTCAATCCCACTGTCCATGTCAGTGACGAAGATGTGGAACAAGACTGGTCCCAACACCGATCCCTGAGGGACACCACTCGTTACAGGTCTCCAGCTGGACATTGAGCCATTGACCACAACTCTTTCTGTGCGGCCATCCAGCCTGTTCTTTATCCACCGAGTGGTCCACCAATCAAATTGATGTCTCTCCAATTTAGAGAAAAGGATGTCATGTGGTACAGTGTCGAACGCTTTGCACAAGTCCAGGTAGATGATGTCAGCTGCTCTGCCCCTGTCCATCAGTTCCGTAGCCCAATAATAGAAGGCCATAAAACTGGTCAGGCAGGATTTGCCCTTAGTGAAGCCATGATGGCTGTCACCAAGCACCTTGTTGTTTTTCATGTGCCTTAGCATGCCTTCCAGGAGAATCTGCTCCAAGATTTTGCCAGGCACAGAGGTGAG